TAGGGTTTAGGGTTTAAACCCCAACACCAGTCGAATACCCCGACACGGCGCCAACACTTCAACCTGCCATACTACAGGGGTCTAGATACTTGCCAACACTAGTTTGGTCTTCCTTAATAGATCATAGTATCATATACTCCGGAACCCTATTCTGATTGTTAAGGCCCTTAATATCGAACCCTATTGTAGAATCCCTTATAGAACCCTTGAAGGATCTATTAAAGGAGCCCTATTCTAATTAGATTTCATTTGTTAAGGACCCTATATGAGATACCTTCACCCAAGAAGGTCGATAGTCTGACGCTCCTTTTCCACTCATCGCGAGCACGGGGCCCTGGTGCGAGCGTTGTTTCTTTAAGAGTTCGGGCTTTTTTTGAAGGGTTTAGGGTCAATATAGGGTGTAGGGAAGCCTAAAAAATGGCTACCACTACTAGTACTGTTTCTTGGGGCTCCTTAGTACGTCTATGGTACTAGTACCATGTACCGCCAAACCCTATTCTAATGATTAAGGACCCTAATATAGAAGCCTCAAAAATTACCAATACTCTTGCTTAAGGTTCCTGGTTATATTTAAGCTACAAAGGATCCCAAAACCTAATTCAAATTAATACCCCGCCAAACCCTACCCTAAACCCTAAACCCTGAACCCCAAAACCTAAACCCTCAAACCCCTAGACCTTAAACCCCAAAACCCAAACCCCCAAAACCCCAAAACCTCAACACCCCAAACCCTAAACTTCAAAACCCTAAACCCCAAAACCCTAAACACCAAAACCTCAACGAAAAGATCTTTAAAGGTTCCCAGAGGGTTTCTCGTAGGGGGTAGGGTTGAACCTTTTTGTGGTAGATCATACTACCCTAACGTCTAAAAGCACCCTAATAAGGGTTCCTACTGGGTATCTATAAGGGTACTATGAGGGTAGTTCTCTAAAGTATGGTCCCTCTTGAAGTCCCCAAAATAGTACGGCACCCTCATAAACAGGACTGCTAGGATGGGAATGTACATCTAGTTGCTCAAGAACCCTAAACCCTAAACCCTAAAATCTAGGACGCTTTCAGGTGAGTAGTAGTTACCGTTATAGGAGCTTTATAGAAGGTCTATATACCGTATAGAAGCCTTATAGAAGTCCTATATTCCCTAAACTCCTCACCTGCAGTTCCCTCTAACGAAAGTGTGAATTGTTGTTGAGGTCGGTAGGGTCTTTGGTGATTGGGGGCGGAGGTCGGTCGAAGAGCTTTCAGTTCTTAGGGTAGAGGGCGTAGGGTTTAGGGCTTTAGGGATTAATATAAACGCCTAAAATATTTGTGTTACTGCTCCCTATTACAAGTATACTATCAAGGACACCCAAACCCTATTCTAATTGTTAAGGCCCTTACAGTAGGTTGGGGCTTTATAGGGTTTTAGGGGCTTGGGATTTTGAGTTTCCCCAGGATGCATGCCACGTGAAGGGGGGGGAGTCACCTCCCAGGTTTGCTTGCGTCCGTTTAGGGGTTTAGGGTTTAGGGTTTAGGGTTTAGGGTTTAGGGTTTAGGGTACATGATTTTGTTTCTGCGCTTGCGGGAAGGAATGTTTCTTTTCATTTTGACTGCTTGTAGTACTGCCGCCACTACCGCTACTGCCACTACTACCACCACCACCACCACCACCGCTACGGTAATGGTTACCGCTCAATATATCTTGAGTCCTATCTAGTCCACACCTTCGAATCTGAGCTAATTTCCGGACTCCATGTGTTGGACACCCACAAAAAGCAAACATGGAGAATGGCTGTCAGGTTTTGTTTCTAGCCCAGAGCTTCCTGAAGGTACTCAGTTTTGAGGGCGTAAAACCCGAAATCCTAATCTCTAAACCCTAAACCCGAAACCCTAAACTCTGAACCCGAAACCCTAAACCTTGAAAGGTGCATACTTAGGCGGAGTCCCCTCGAAAAAAACCCTCTCCCACTAAATGCTACCTGCACTCGCTTGGCGAGGTTCAGGGTTTAGGGTTTAGGCTCTTAGGGTTTAGGGCTTATGATATGTGATGTACCTCTTCAATTCTTGAGGCGACTGTCAGCCCAACTGCAGCAATCTTTCTTTTTGCCGGGTTTTGCAGCATCAGCTTGTGCCAGACCTTGACAGGGTTCTTGCGAAACTTACGATAGCAGGGATCTATAGTGTTGAGGGTCCAGGTGCCCCCTGTAGTATATACTTGGGCCCTAAAGTGTGTTAAGGCCCACGTAAATACTATATGAGTACATGGTCTCGTGGGGTTGTGGTAGCTGAAATTTTTGCCCCTTAAAATCGCACCCAGTTTATGGAGTTGACCTGTAGAATTTGGTCCTGCTTTCCCCAGCGGTTGAAACGGATTTGTCTTGTCCTCGAGGGAGCAACGTATGGGGTGTAGGGATCAGGGTTTAGGGTTCAATGTATATACCCTAAACCCCTCAACCCTAAACTCTAAACCCCTAAACCCTAAACCCTAAACCCCTAAACCCTAAACCCCTAAACCCTAAACCCCTAAACCCCTCAACCCTAAACCCTACATCCTGTCTTCTTGTTTTTTGATGGTGTCGTAGACCCTCAACCCTCCCTAAATCCTGTTCTCTTGTTTTGG